TGTGATGCAGAGCCTTGGTGGGTGGTGGGCATTTTTATTATTTTTTTCAATTATTATTTTTTTATATTATTATTTTTTTATTTTAATATTATTTAATTTTGTATTTATATTTTTTTCGTCCCCTCTCCCTGCTTGATACATGGCCAGGTAGGGGGGCTCTCATTCCCTGGTGGTCTAGTGGCATGGGCTGTGTAGGAGGGGGGGCTGGCAGCAAGCTGTAACTTACCTTTCCTGCAGCTCCTGTCAGCTCCCTTCTCCTCCGGTCCGGTCAGCAACCCTGTCATCACCACTGTAAGTCTCGCAGTCTGACTTGGTATGTAAGTTGCCATAATACAGACATTGACTCGAGTATAAGTCGAGTGGGGGTTTTTCAGCACAAAAAATGTGCCGAAAAACTCGACTTATACTCGAGTATATACGGTACTTTGTATTTTGACACTACAAACTGAGATGTTATCACTATTTAATTGCATTAGCTATCTATTTCTAATCAACCGTTTTGTATTTTTTTAAAATTTTTAATCCCCATGCAAATTATATAAAGATACAACAAACTAAAGAATCTTTAACACATATATTGTGACTTACAATGAATTAAACTAGCAAAATGTTGGTGATGTAGACAAACACCCTTTTTCATGTTTACAGAAATAGTGATTTTGTAAATGAAGAGTATTGAAAGTGAGAATCACTGTTTTATATCCAATGAAAATAATCTCATGGAGATCTTTGTTAATGATCTGTGTGGTTTCCTAGGATAAATAATTTGCTGCAATGTTTTATTGTTTAAATATATTTTCCTTTTAAAACTGACAAACATGGATTTTAGAGTGTTATGCTTAAGAGCATAAAAAAAACAGTAACCCCTTTTTCAGACTGGAGCAAATAATGGATTGACAGATTGTCCAAGGCTTGTAGAAAAGCCACTTGAAGTGGTAAAATTGTGTAGGTTCTAGTGTGCACCTGTAAACTATGCATTTGAAGCCTGGCCATGTACCATAATGTGGAAATGATCTTTAGATAAGTATATATTTTATGCATTTCATGCAACCTTAGATGAAGATAAACTTGCGATTCACATGATTTGTATATGACAGATTAATTTTAATAGCTAAAGTTATAAGAACAAAAAGTTTAACTTTATTTAATAGACTTATAAGAACATAAAGATTTCTTAATGATTTGTTCACCATTATGGCAGGTGTTATCAGTAAGAGTTATTATGACATAAACAAAATGATAATGCATTCTCCTCATATGGCTTTTATGCAGAACTGGATTAAAGGACCACTATAGTGCCAGGAAAACATACTCATTTTCCTGGCACTATAGTGCCCTGAGGGTGCCCCCACCCTCAGGGTCCCCCTCCTGCCGGGCTGGATGGAGAGGAAGGGGTTAAACTTACCTCTTTCTCCAGCGCCGGGCGGGGAGCTCTCCTCCTCCTCCTCTCTGCCTCCCATCCTCCTCTTCGGCTGAATGCGCATGCGCGGCAAGAGCTGCGCGCGCATTCAGCCAGTCCATAGGAAAGCATTCTCAGTGCTTTCCTACGGACGCAAGCGTCTTCTCACTGTGAAAATCACAGTGAGAAGCGTGGAAGCACCTCTAGCGGCTGTCAATGAGACAGCCACTAGAGGCTGGATTAACCCATAGGTAAACATAGCAGTTTCTCTGAAACTGCTATGTTTACAGAAAAAAGGGTTAATCCTATCTGGACCTGGCACCAAGACCACTTCATTAAGCTGAAGTGGTCTGGGTGCCTATAGTGGTCCTTTAATGGATATCCCTTACCATTCTCAGTGCTTTCCTACGGACGCAAGCGTCTTCTCACTGTGAAAATCACAGTGAGAAGCGCGGAAGCACCTCTAGCGGCTGTCAATGAGACAGCCACTAGAGGCTGGATTAACCCATAGGTAAACATAGCAGTTTCTCTGAAACTCCTATGTTTACAGAAAAAAGGGTTAATCCTATCTGGACCTGGCACCAAGACCACTTCATTAAGCTGAAGTGGTCTGGGTGCCTATAGTGGTCCTTTAATGGATATCCCTTACCATTCTCAGTGCTTTCCTACGGACGCAAGCGTCTTCTCACTGTGAAAATCACAGTGAGAAGCGCGGAAGCACCTCTAGCGGCTGTCAATGAGACAGCCACTAGAGGCTGGATTAACCCATAGGTAAACATAGCAGTTTCTTTGAAACTGCTATGTTTACAGAAAAAAGGGTTAATCCTGTCGATACCTAGAAATTCAAGTCAGAACTTGAAATGAACCATCTGAGTATTTGTTACAAAGTGCTGCTGTGCTACAGATGGTATGGTCACTTTCTAACAAAATTTTAGGTGTACTCCAACCAGACAATCAGTGCAAGTATATATCAAATGAAAGAGAGGCACATAAAATATACTAGATCCACAAGTATAATGTGAACCGATTATCAAAATATAGTGAACATTCCAAATAATATGAGTGATGTGAATTAATATATATAATTGCACTGAAATTTAATAAGGTCTCTGTTAGGTTTAAGTCCTAATGCAGAGACTGAATAATGTAGCCAAATTAAGATGCAGGTGTGTATATATTGTGTGCACACAGTATATGGATTTTTAGCAAATTTCTTCGATATTTTCACAGAAGAAGGTTTAGTTCAATATACTAGCTATTTTAATTTTTAGTTAAATTATGAAAATTGATCTGTTTGCAGAGGAGGATTCCAGGTGTAACATTATGTAATAAAAAATTAGAGTAATATGTAACACATTTAGTAAAATGCTGTGGATCTGATAAAGTAAACAGTATGATTATCATACAACTATTGGATTCATGTGAGTGAATTGTTGAAAAAACCCTTGTCTTCTCCAGTACCAAAGAGAAAGTACCAGGCCACCATGTCAAAAGCCTTTTCTGCATCTAACGTGAAAATGAAAGTCCTAGCTTTTCAGCTCTGAACCAACCTTTTAACCTCTCTCAGAAAGTTTTAACAGCAACACAATTGTCTGTTTTAAGTAAAGGTCTTAAATTTGCCCCTACCTCTTCTTTTAACTCATTTCAAGCCTTTCTTGACGTAAACAAATTCGTTAGAAAAGCCACATTAAAAAGATTTTTTATAAGCAAAAATGACAAAGAACTCATCCCACCTATTTTATCTTCTTCTCTTAAGACAGACAGTAGTCCTTTTTTAAATACACACCTTAGGGAAAAATCCAAGTTTTATCCATCTCATTTTAAATCGGCCCCTTTGATTTTATTTGAAAAACTTGTTCTTAAAGATTTAGAAAAAATCAAACACAAAAAATATGATTCTAACAACCTTACAAATGCTGAAAGACAAGCTATCAAAGAACTTCAAAAAGATAGAGATATTGTCATCAAATCAGCAGACAAAGGTGGCGGAGTAGTCATCCAGTCCAGTAAGATGTATATTGATGAAGCCCATAGACAATTGAAAGACATAAATGTATATGAACAACTCTCAATAGATCCTACAAAAAAGATACAAACTATCCTATTTAACTTTTTAAATAAGGGTCTGAACTTAAACATTTTAAATAAACAAGAATTTAACTTTCTAAATAAGGAATTTCCGATCACCCCTGTTATCTACTTTCTTCCCAAAATTCATAAAGATGAACAACATCCCCCAGGCAGACCAATTGTTTCTGGGATAGGTTCACTTTTATGTAATCTTTCACAATATATTGATACCCTTTTACAGCCTTCGGTCAAGCTCATGAAGTCCTATTTAAAAGACTCTATGTCACTTTTAAAAATTTTAAGTGATTTTACTTGGAAAAATAGTTTTATTTTAGTTACGTGTGACGTACAGTCTCTTTATACTATTATTCCCCATGACATTGGTTGCCAAGCTATAAAAGAAATTTTAACTCAAGAAGCTAGAATCCCTGATATCCAAATAGACTTTATAATAGAAGGTATTAATATTATTTTAAAAAATAATTATTTCTGGTTTTTAGATTCATTTTATTTGCAAAAGAGAGGCACTGCTATGGGGACTAGGTTTGCCCCCAGTTACGCCAATTTGTTTATGGCTGACTGGGAATCAGAAGCCATTTGGGGCAACCATCGATGGCGGGCAAACCTAGTCACTTATTTTAGATACATAGACGACCTCTTTTTTATTTGGGACGGATCAGAAAATCATCTTATTGAATTTATCAACCATTTAAATACCAATAATAGGGGTATTATTCTTACGTATGAATTTAGTAAAAAATCCATCAATTTTTTAGATCTTAGTATTTTTATTAATAAGGGACTACTCCAAACTAAAACTTTTTTTTAAAAAGTATGTGTAAATACAGCCATAGATAAATCTAGTTGCCACTACAAACCCTGGCTCGAGAGTGCACCAAAAAGCCAATTTTTACGTCTTCGTAGAAATTGTTCAGAACTTTCAGATTTTAATGAGCAAGCAGAGTTTTTAAAAGACAAATTTATGGAAAAGAAATATTTAGAATCAGATTTAATTACTACAATTAATACAGTAAAACAAAAAGAAAGAAAAGAACTTCTGATGTATAAAAATAAAGAAAAAGACGAATCAATAGTACTCCCAGTGATTTTTAATTTCAACAACAAAAGTAATGATGTTAAAAAAATAATAAGAAAACACTGGCATATACTCAAACACGACGAGATACTTAATCCCATCATACCCATCCATCCGAACATTGTTTTTAGAGGAGCACCAAATTTTAAATCCATTTTAACTACTAATTTTACTAAACAATCTCCTCCAAAAAATGTATCCTTTTTTCCTCAGACAAAAGGTTTTTACAAATGTAAACAGTGTATTGTATGTAAAACCACAGATCATTTTACTCCATCTAAAGTCACAAATTTTATGTCTAACCAAACAAAAAGAGTGTACAATATTTATGATTTTATTTGTTGTAATACGAAAAATGTTATCTATCTGCTTGAGTGTCCATGTGGCCTCCAATATGTGGGGATGACCACAAGGTGCTTAAAGATAAGGCTAAGTGAACATTGCAGAAATATTAAAAATGGGTACTTAAACCATACAGTATCCAAACATTTTATTATACACAACAAAGATCCACGCCTACTAAAATGTATAGGTATAAAAAAATGTTCTACCTCCTGGCGTGGAGGTGATATAAAAAAGCTGCTTGGTAAAACAGAGATGGAATGGGTGTATAAACTTAAGACCCTTATACCCCATGGTCTTAATGCAGATTTTGATCTATACAATTTCTTATGAAAATGGATATAAAATGATGTTTGTATTTCCTATATTTTAAATGTTGCTTTTAATACCCTCTCTAATTATGCCAATATCTTTTAATATCATGTTTGCACTCAAGGTTTTTATTGTTGTACCTTTTAAAGTATTCAAATTTTATTTTTTATAGTAAATTATTAGCCCTAACTATATTCCACATTAGGCACTTCGGTTTTATTTTATGCCCTACTATATTATCTTCCAGAAATTCAATTTTGTATCAATAATTAGCCTGTACTACATTTCCCATCAGGCACTTCGGCTCTAACTTCCGGTTTGCGGAAGTGCCGATTAATCTGCACATGGATTTAGGTATTATATTTAGTATTATATTAGTGCCTTCCCCTTTTCTATGTCTTAGGTTTCCCTAGGTTTCATGGGAACCATTGTGCCAATTTGGCACTATAGATCTTTATTTTATTATGTGCCCGCCGACCGCGGCCATCTTAAACTACATTTCCCATGTGGCATTGCGGCTAGACTTCCGAGAAGCGGAAGTGCCGCATGCCACGTGATTATTTTAAAACGTTTCAAACTACACTTTCTCACCCTCGTTTTTTAATTATAAATATCAGGAATGTGTTATAAAACAGCAGACAATGTACTGATAAAGGTATAATTATGTTTTAAAGTTTTTATATATGCTTCTATTTCTGATTGGACGGACCAATTTTGGCGCCAAATGTAAATTAGTTATGCTCCTATATAACATTATCAAGCCAGGTATTACATGTTATTCCATTTGAAAAAGTCTCTGACGAAACGCGTTATGGAAATTCAATTATTGTGTTCTTTTATATATTAAAGTATTTTTGGTTATTTGTTTGTACCAATAATCTCTTTTTTATAGACACATAATTTTCCTTTTTTATTACCCTGGCCTTTTTTATTTATTTTATCCTTTTTTACTGGTTTTAAAAAAAACCTTGAGAATCCCTGGAAGCCTCCTGTACTTAAAGAAATCCTAGGTGGGGATCAATCCACCCAAGCTGTCATCACGGAGCAGTAAATCTGCTCCTGCTTTGTAAGTACATTCTTTTATTATTTTATCCATATTGCTATACAGTGAGCACTATTGGCTGTTTCTTTTATTCCGAGAATTGGACACCTATCACAGAGAGGAACCCATTTAAATCCTACAAGCGGGGATCAAACCGCTGTATGCGCCTTAACCCAGAGCTAGGACAATAGCTCTGGTAAATGTGAGTTCTATATTATTATTCTTTTATGTCCACACCAGAATTTTATATACTACACTATTGGTCGCCCTTCTCTCTCCTCTTTTTTCTTTCATATAAGTGGAACCGCTACATTAAGAGAAGACGTCATTAGCAAAGACCATCTGTAAGGATAAAACATTGGGACTTTCCTTTACATTGGACTTTATTTTTACTTGTGTGCGCAGCCTTTCTCTTATTATTTTCACTGAACCAACCTTGTCTGTGAAGGTTAGCTAGTGAAGGATAGGTTTTATGCACGGTGCAAACATGTTATTGAATACTTTTAAATTTTTCAGTAAAGCAATGTGTTTATAGCTTCAGTATGAACTGGAATTATTCACTTGCTTAGGTATGACAGTGATTTCTTGTCAGGAACTGTGAAGGATGTCAAGCAAAATATAAGTCAACAATCTAACAAAGACACAGTGGGAGTGATAGAAAGGTGTATCGTCAGAGGAGCATAATTGTGACACTCCCTGAAGTGGACTGTCTAGCCACTGGAGTGTCTAAGTCAGAATTGCAAATAGATTTTTTGTGTCAATGCGAAAATGTCCTTACACAAGGAGAGCACAGTCACCCATATAGTATACTACAACAGAAGAGCAGAAAAACAGCCCAGACCCAAGGTCTGAAAACCTACAGGTGGTCATATTTTCCAGAGCATCTGAGCAGAGGGGTTTAGATTGTGAGTACTCTGTTGTACATTTAGGGAGTTAATGAGCCAGGTAATACATCCATAAACTTGAGCAAAGGTAAAAAAAAAAGGGGGGTTTTACCAATTATAATGGTTATGTTTGGTGAACTGAGGTTGAGAAACTAGGGAACAATCAGAAATACTTTGGGAAGGTTACTTAAGGTGAACCAGAGCTGAGGCTCTAAGAGGAGAGATTAGACTTGAAGATTTTTTTGTTATTAATGTTCATCTGCATTTGGGCTGATTGAGTGATCGGTTAAATTCCCAAACCGATTCAACATTGACTGTAAATTTTAGCATTAATTTGTAATTCTGAATTTTGCCTGTGGTATCAAAACAGGAGATGACTGATGGGGAAAAAAAAGATGATTGATGGCTAGGTGACAGAAATTAATAATTTATTTTATTCGCAGATCAAGTGACCAATAATGGGGTAAAAGAGAAGAACAATAAAAATAAAATCTATATTTACATATTAACTATATAATATATCATATGTAAATATATATATATATATATATATATATATATATATATATATATATTTAACTGCCCCTCTTTTCCCTCAAATTGATACTTTTTATCATTGGATTTGTGAACTAAATGGTGAGAACATGCATCTACCAGTGTACTGTAAAAGATGTATACATAATATTTATATTATGTATATATTTTGCAGTACATTGATTAGTCTACTTTTGCGTCATTTTGGTTTATCTGTTTTGTTTTCATTAATTTTTTTCATTAAATGAGTTTGACTGAGCTGAAGCACCATATGGCCAAAATTGGGACATTCAGAATTTTTTTTTAGGCAAAAATAATTCAACCAAAACAGATTTTTAGGCCGTGCACAATCTAATACACACACACTCTGCTAGGTTGCAGGATATTCAATAATCAATTAATTATTATCCTGTTTTTTATAGAGAGAATAATAGATGTTTGAAGAGATTAACCCTTACAAATGAGCATTTTCTGATAATAGGTTACATTTGCCAATATGCCTACTATGGTGTGAATTGAATTCCCCACCATTCACTATTTACTGAGCAGCATTTTTTAAAAGTCATATAGATATGCCTATTATATATTTTACCTTACCCATGATCATCCTCTTGAATGCATAACCATTAAGTGTATTATCAGGGTTATTTACTATTAGTCAAATAATGTCAATAATGATAATGTCAAATTATCCAAATTGGTAGCATAACTGACTCAGAAATTGTTTCTATTTAGTCTACGTCTGCCTTAAATGTGAAATTTACTTTAAATTCTAAGTTGAGTGAATAACCCTGTATGTGTATATAGATAGTACCTGTTATGTCTTGCTTAGCACATTAGTTTAAAGCTATTATGTAGTTTTCTCCTTTATCGCATTTGCTCTACTTTAAACTGTTTTCTAGTTACTTAAAAAAAAAAAAAAAAAAAAAATATATATATATATATATATATATATATACATATATATAATAAGGATCAAAACAACTTAAGCTCTGGAGCAGTAAGTCGCAAGTCTCAGATGTGTTGTACCAAAAACTGTTCTCAGTAATATAAAGTTGAGCACTACAAATGAACCAAACATAACCTTTTTGAAAATAAAAGAAAAATGATTTATTTTCTCTTACATATTCTCCAAGCAGTTGTCTCATTCTCTCATATCTAAAGATTGTTAGCGGAAGTCAAGTTTTGCAGTTGCTATTTGTGGACATAGCCATCAATATCCTTGACATAACCAGAGAGACACCTTAGGGTACTTGTTTGAGAAATGTACTGTTTGGGCAATGCGTCCTTTGAAAAATAAACAAGGAAGAAAAAAAAATTACATGTTGACAGTTTTTTTTTTTTCCACAGCTCACCCCTTAGGCCAATCTTTTCAATTCCTTTACAGAGTAAAAGTCAGGCTACAGGAGAAAGTCCTCCTTGCCATTTCATCCTTAATGAACTGTGACTACAGCATCCTTAGCTCAAAACAAACAAAAGGATTTTAAATTAGAACTTTGCTACCTGTTTTGTCATTTCTCATTGTTATGCTTCCCTCTACTTCAAAAGAAATGATTGCTTATAGCATTCAATAAACGTTGTTAGCGGTCTAATTTGCCTGAACAGTTTACATGCATCAATGCATCTTGAGTAGGAAACGCATTTGTTTACCAGTTTTTGTGAGTTTTAGAAAAGCTTTAAAATCAGAGCTAATTGTTCATATATCACACAACTTAGTTATGGGGAGTGTACATTTAGTATATTTTCTATGCTGTAGGAAATGAGAGAGGCCCATTTACTAGGCTAATCAGCTTTAAAGAATTTACCTGCAGAGAAGCAAAAATGTGCTCCTGCCAGACGTGTAATAGTCCCTACATGTCATTTCATTCATAATAAAGGGCTCACGAGAAAGCAGTACATTTGAAATTTAAAACCATTAATTAGAATTCCAAACAAGAGAGACGTTTGCTCCTGATTCTAAAGAGAAAAGGCCTGAATTTTAGCTACCAAACAATTATTGCTATTTTTAGCATTTACATAGCGACAACATATTTCATCGCACTTTACAATTATAGACAAAGGTGAGGAACTCCCTGCTTAAACCAGCTTACAATATATGAGCATTTGAGGTAGCTGGATATATATCGTTAGGTGTCTTCTTGAAAGAAGAAAAACAGTTGGGGATGTGTTAAAAAATTGAATAGCAAAAGAAACACATTATTTTAAAGAATTCATCAACAATAAAGAACAAGAAAACTAGGAAGATGCTTCTTGTTTAAGGCATAGTGCAAAATATTGGAGTCAACCAAGGATGATGATCCTAAACAAATGCTTATGTAACTTATTTTGTAAAGCTGCCATTTAATACCAGGAAACATGGCCTTCACCTGTGGACACCATTATAACCATAGAAATGAATAAGTATCCTCTTTTGGTAAAGGTAAAGAGCATAGGGATACACATCATAGGTCCTGTCTACAGGATTTTATTAAGTAAATATATAAAGATTACATGCCTTACTGACGATACACTATCGAGAATATAACCTTTAACTTA